CCACTATCCGACAACTTCAGAGTAGGCCTTTTTCAGGAAGGATCAATGAAGATGAAAATAAGCATCTAGAGAGGTTCCTTACTTTGAGTACGTCATTAAAAATTGAGGGACACTCTGAAGAAGTGAAGAAGCTGGTCATGTTTTCGTTTACTCTATCTGATGAAGCCGAAGAGTGGTTTTACTCATTACCTGCTGGGAGTATTACTACTTGGCAAGAGATGGAAACAACATTTCTAAATGAATATTTCCCTGCTTCTGTGTACATCCGAAAGAGGTACGACATCGTGAACTTCAAACAGAAGGAGGGAGAGTCACTTGGAGATGTGTATAAGAGGTTTAAGAGGTGTTTGGTTGTATGTCCCACTCATAACATGGACGCAACCGAACAAATGCAGAATTTTGTGAATGCTCTCAAGATGAAGACTAAACAGTTTATTGATATAGCTACCGGTGGCTCAACCAACTTTACAACAACCACTGGTATTAAAAAAATAATTGAGGCTATTGAAGAAAATGAGCACTTGGAGTTGTATAATCGCAGTGTAAGCTAACCTGAAAAGATTATTGATATAAAGCTTACGGATCAAGTGGTAGAACTGGAAGAACAAATTGTGCCTGAAGTGGAAAGAAGGATTAAAAAGATGAATCTTGATACTCAAACCATGGTACAGGTTCAACCAGTTCAAGAAGTCAATTATGAAATTTGTGGGGGACCGCGTTTTACTGTGCATTGTGTTGCTACCGTGCGACAAGTGGAAGCAATTAACTTTTTGAAACAGAATAACCCTTATTCCAACACCTATAATATGGGGTGGAGGAATCATCTGAATTTCTCATGGAAAGATCAGCAAGGGAATGTTCCAAAGCAAGGGGTCACTCCACCTCCGAACCAACCGCAACAACAACAGTACCGTCCTCAACAACAATAACCTCAACAGCCGTATCCACAACAATTTTAGCAACAGTTTCAACAACACCCGCAACAGTTTCAACAACAAGCACCATAAAAAGCTGATTGGGAAATTGCCATTGAAAAAATGGCCGCTCAGAGCTCCCAATTCCAAGAAGAGGCAAGAAGCAATCTTAGGAACACAGGTGCTTCGATAAAAAACCTTGAAGTCCAGATGATCCAAATAGCATAACAACTAGCAAGTTCTTAAGCATTAGGTGCTCTACCTAGTGCCACTGTGCCCAACCTACAGGATCATAATAATGTTAGTGTCGTGACCACAAGGAGTGGTAAATCTATTGATGTTCCTGAGAAAAATTCTAAATCAGAAGACCAACTGCTTAAGGTCGATCTTGAGATCAAAGAAAATGAAGTAGTTGCTGAAAAGGTGATGTCACCAGAACAAGTGGTGAAAAACGAGTTGCAAAAGACATTGGTTGTATTGTGGTAAGAAGGAATTTTGGGGTGACATCATTTTGTCTCATACATTGCTTGAGGACAAGTAATGAGCTAAGTTTGGGGTTGTGATCGGTCACCTATTCTACTTAGTTTTCTTCAGTTATTCGACAAGAATTTCGTTTAATCGATAACACTTTGGTTTGTCTTTTTTCGCTTTCCTTTAAGTATTTAAGTTTATGCATTTTGTTTGCTTGCATTGCTTTAGTTTAAACTTATGATAAATAAAATACTTTTGAAGTCTTGGTTTGGTAGTTTTGGTGTTTTTAGGTTCATGTGAATGTTCCGAGGAATGGGTGCGAATTCGGCTAACTTCGGAAAGATTTTTCTCAAAGTCAGAGGTCTGACACGGGTGCCCGTGTCACTTGACACGACCCGTGTCAGGATGGGAAGAGGAGAGAAGCTGAACTGAGAAACCAGTGGGCTGACACGGGTGCCCGTGTCATCACAACTAAAGCTGCAAACTTAATTAACAAAGGCAAGAGGCCAACACGGGTCCCCGTGTCACCTGACACAGCCCGTGTTGGCAGGCGCAAACACATTTCTGATTTTTTTAAAGTATTGTATGTGTTAGTTCATTAAGGGTATTTTGGACATTGTGCATGGGAAGGAATGATCTGATACTATTAAGACCTGATTTTTGGAAGGAAAGGGGGACTTTGGATTGCACGAAAGAATTACTGCAGAAAGAATAAAGCTCTGGAGGATTGGGAAAAAAAAGGAGATTTTCATGATCGAAAGAAATTGAAGATCAACTTTTATCACCAATTCTTGTAATATCTTTATTTTGTATTTTATTTTCTTTGAATATTATGAGTAGTTAAACCCCCCAATGTTAGGGGGGTGTCCCTGAATTGTTATGTAATGAACATCTTTTGAATTATTCAATGAGACTTTGCTTTCTCACCTTAATCTTTTGTTATGCAAATTATTTAACACTTTCTCGATCGTACAAATTGGGAACAATTTACGATTAGGGATTTGGCCTGAAAAACCAATCTATTGTTTTGCATAATACATTATGGTAGATATTGCCTAGGAATAGAGATATCCTGTAGTGATTGATAAAAACCCTGTTAGAACTATTGATTGATGTTCTTCCTTGACTGCTAAGGAATTAGGATCAAGGAAGAATCTCAAAGGTTTTTCAGTTAAGGAATTTAAGAAAAATATTATTGAGGTTCAGTAAAAATTAAGGTTTTGAGGCATGTCTCGTTGATAATGATTTAGGGTTCTTACTGAGCAATTCATACACCTCTCTCAGCATATTTTCTCATAATTGTTAAAGTAATTTTATTATTCTGCTTATTTCATTTTGTCACTATAATTATTTCAAAATCACCAAACAAAACCCCCCAAGGATATTTTTGTTTAATTGAAACAAAACTTGTACTTACAATTGCATGCAGTCCTTGAGAGATTGATTCTGGGGATAACCCCACTTATTACTGCATTGATAAATATAGTATACTTGTTATTTTTCTGATCAGTCACAAATTCACATCTTTTATCCGAACCATTATTAAACCCTCTAATTACCACACCAATTATCAGTTTGAAGGCCTCCGTACAAATCCATTGAAGCATGTGATTACGAAATTCAAACTCTTGCTCTTTTTTAAATTTGCTGCCAACATCTACTGCCTTTGGCATCCAGAGACATAACATGTTTGGGAAAAACATTGGGGGTGCACCATATGTAATGAAAACATTTACAATAAAACACTCAATAAGTGCTAATACTGTAAACAAATGAAAAAATGATAACATACAAATACCGAAGACGCATTTCTGGATGAGTTCATACAGATTCTGGAGATGTACCTTCGAATTAAACACACGTTTTTCATACTTAAAACAAGATCAATATGAGCAATAATGCTTCAAATAAATGACCTTTACCTGGAACTCTAGCTTCTTTTGCTCCCCTTGATGTGATGAAACACAAGATTGAATATTTGGAGTGAAAATGTGTATTGGGAATGGAAGAGTTTTTGGTAAGGGTTTGAAGTAGAAAACAAGTATGAATGTAGGATCATGCAGGTGAGTGTTTTATCAAATCATTGCAGAGATACATCTCCAGAAATATCTGACATGAAAAGTTGACAGAAATTTCAAAATCCTGTCCTAAACCTCCGAAGATGCATCTCCAGTAAATCCACTAGGCTGCTCAAATGTTAATATATTTGTTAAAAATTTCCGGAGATGCATCTCCGGATTAATTTTTTGTGTTAATATAGGGTGACACTTGTTTGGAGCGTTTAGAGATGTATCTCTAAAATCTGAAGAATAATTTTTGATTTTCCATAAGGTGATGTGATAAGAAATTCCCTAATAATTTTGAGGATTTCTTAATCCACCCCTTGATACTCTTAGGCACCTAGCGCATTTCCTTTTATGACCTCTGCTATCAAAGCTCTATCTCTGGACTCACCCTTATTTATCTTTACGCTAGATGCTTCAAGAGACACATATACGAAAATAATTCCGTAGATTGCATCTCCGAAATCTTATCAGAACAAGTCTTTTTTATAAAAAAAATATAGTTTTGTTGGTCACAGATGAATATAAAATAAAATGTCATCAAAATATAGTACATAAAAAAACACCACAGTCACTACTGTGTGTGTCTGACAACATCTCCATCCTCTCCCCTGCCCATGCATCTACCGCCTCCTCTACCGCCCAATCTGCGTCCTCGGCCATCGATCTCACCTGTCCTGACGCGATGTCTGTGGTACATAAGTGTCCCCTCTGCCACCGCAATCATCCCATCCAATATACGCCTGTGGTTAGACCCCTCAGGGAAGAAACCATCGTTAATGCCTGCCCGCCTCATCTCCACTATCTGACGACAGCGAGGCAGGACATTCTGAGTGTGGTCCAATTGAGACTGCCGCTCCTCTAAAATCTTCTGATGAGCTGGTCTAGACGCTGATCCTTCTGCAGTGGACACCATATAGAGGTGCGAGACGGTGAAAAACCACATGATGTAGCCATAAACACAACTTCAGTCTCTCGGAGCTCTGGTCGCCCGAACCTCGTCCGGTAGCATGTGCCTCTAATAGTCAGCATAGATCTCCTCTATCTACATACAGCTCAAGCCGAGAGGAGTGGAGACAACTGGATGTCTGGGTATCGTCTGTGTGTATCCGAGGAGCGGAGACAGATGAAAAATGAAGAATGATGGAGGAGAAAGGACTCTAGCGCGAATGTATTCCAATATGTTACAGAGCTATATAAACAGAAACATCCCGTAAATGTAGCTTCGAGAAAAACCAACGTTGAGTAAAAAAAAAAGTGCGTTCGAAGATACATCTCCAAAAACAGAGAGTATTTTTGAAAGCGCACATAATGCCTAATAACTTCAAGCGGTGAAATAAGAAATTCTCATAATTTTACCAAACCTGATATATTAAATTGAGCCACAAACTAAGTCCAGCCCAAATCAAATAACAAACAGGGGAAAAACTGAAAATAAATAATTACGAAGGGGTACAAAACCCAATTAAAGAAAATATCATGGAACGAAGAAGAAGACTTTACTGATAAAATAGACTCTGAAACAGAGTCACAGTTGCTGCATTGCTCTCAAATGGCGAAACTCATCTTCATCTTTCTCACTCTCATTCCAATTCTATGCACTTCGTTCTCCCCTGATAAACCCTCAGATCGTCGCATCCTTGTTTTAGTCGATGACTTCGCCGTCAAATCTTCACATTCTCTTTACTTCAAATCTCTCCAATCTCGCGGTTTCGATCTCGATTTCAAGCTCGCTGATGACCCCAAAATCGCACTCCAGAGATACGGACAGTACCTCTATGAGGGATTAGTTTTGTTTTCCCCAACAATTGAACGTTAGTTTTGCAATTTTCATTTTCCCCCATTTTAAATTGTTTGTTAGATCTTAATCTTTGTTACTGTTTTAGAAATGGGTTTTTATTAATGGTTGGTTTTAGGTTGGGTATGTTTTAAATTTTCGATTTTTAAAAATTTTTTGTAATGTAAATGTTTTTTTTTTTGTGATTTGTAGGTTTTGGTGGATCTATTGATGCTGCTGCTATTTTGGATTTTGTTGATTCCGGTCATGATTTGATTGTTGCTGCTGATAACAATGCGTCTGATTTAATCAGGGAAATTGCTACCGAGTGTGGAGTGGACTTCGACGAGGTGATTATAGTTGATTTTTTGGGCTGAATGAGTTTTTGTACAGTTTTTTGTTTATGTTTTGGTGGTTCAGTGTGCTTGGATGCTATTATTTGTATGTTGGTTTTGGTCATATATCTAAATTAATACTATCTCCTTACTTGTGTGTTTTTGTTTGTTTTGTTTTTCCCAGAATTATACTGCTATGGTTGTAGATCATGCTGGATATGCAGTTTCCTCTACCGAAGGGGATCATACATTGATTGCTAGTGATGATTTTATCAAGTCTGATGTGATCTTGGGAAGCAAAAAAATTGAGGCAAGTTTGTTGTTAATTAACTTGTTAACCGCATTTCGCTCAATTAAGGGTCAGGCCCTGATTTTATGTAGTTGTTTTTGCTTATTTCCTTTTTCATTTTTTGTTCTTTGTTTTAATGGGGTGGGAAGTGGCTTTCAAGTCACAGGCAAATGCTTCCTATAGACTACAATGATTTTTAATGATTTTTTCATTTCATGCAATGCAACAGGCACCGGTGCTTTTTCAGGGAATTGGGCATTCATTGAATCCTTCTAATAGCTTGGTAATAATAATTCTTAATTGTAATTCACATGTCATCATAAGACTTGTTGGATTGATAAGTATACATTATTTTGGTTGCATTTCTTTTATTAATGTATTTCAATTCAGGTGTTGAAAGTTCTATCAGCATCTCCTACAGCTTTTTCTGCCGACCCAAAATCTAAGTTGACTAGTCCTCCATCACTCCTTGGATCTTCAATCTCATTAGTTTCAGTTATACAGGTCTGTCAATAACTCATTCTCCTATTGTGCATGTGTCATTGTATTGTTCGCTATCCTCTTTTGTACTTTTCTTGCTTATTGCTTTTGAGATATGCATGGAAAGCTAGATTCCTAATGCTTGTTGTTTATTTCGTTTGAAGTTATTCATTTTGCTCATTCAGCAGTATACATGCAAAAATATATTTGTTTTTGAGTATCGGATTCCTTTGTTGAGTATGTATAGAATATTTTTACCTTTATCTCGAGTTTCTATTTATTGGACACACTTTACACATATTTTACTATTCATTGCATACTGTTATGATTTTTGAAGTCATTGATTCTGAAACTTAGTTCTGATTCCTCATTATCAATCCAATTTTAATTTTCAGGCAAGAAACAATGCTAGGATATTGATCACTGGCTCATTGAGCATGTTCAGCAACCGGTATGAAAGACTCACTTAACCTTGTTATCCCGGGTTTGATAATGCTAAATGTGTAAACTCTGAAGCTCATTTTACTTTCATATACTATGATTTCTTTTTGCAGATTTTTCAATTCAGGTGTGCAGAAGGCAGGCAATCCAACCAAGTGAGTAAAGTGTTCAGCTTTTTCTTTTTTCTGTTTTCTGTCAAATATTTGTTTTACTCACTGCGGGAGAACCTTATCATCTTTCTTATGATTATCGTGGGGTGAACTTACACTGCATCTAACCTACACTAGCCAATATGTCTTATAGTTCAGAATATGAATTTTAGGGAAACATACTTTCTATAACAAAAAGTTCAGTAATTTCTGTTTTTTATTTTATTTTATTTTTTATCTTTGAATAACAGACACAACAAGTCAGGTAATGAGCAGTTCTTAACTGAACTTAGCAAATGGGTTTTGCATGAAAGAGGTCACCTCAAGGTAAGATCAAAGTACTTCAGCCAATTTTGTTCTCAATATTCACTTGTTTTGATATTTGACATCATCATTTAGCATCACCACTGTTAATTAATATGCTGTTGCTTCATGTTGACATTTAGGCTGTGAATGTGCAACACCACAAAGTCGGGGAAACTAATGAACCATCGATCTACAGGATCAACGATGATTTGGTAATTTGAATATTATTTCATTACTAATTCATGCCATGTTTTCTTTAATTGAAAATTGACATTCGCCGATGCTTGCTTCTCAAATCTTTTAAAAGGAATACTCTGTTGAAATTTATGAGTGGTCTGGGACAACATGGGAACCTTATGTAGCTGATGATGTTCAAGTTCAATTTTATATGATGAGCCCCTATGTCTTGAAGAATTTATCGAATGACAAGAAGGTTCTTTTGAATTTTCTCTTGAGTGTAGGCTTATTTTGTCTGTAATAAACTCTTGATTGAAATTCATGGGATTGCATGTCCTTTTTCAGGGTCGTTATTTCACATCGTTTAAGGTTCCTGATGTCTATGGGGTTTTCCAGTTCAAAGTTGAGTATAATAGACTTGGGTATACAAGCTTATCTTTAGCAAAACAGGTAATTGTGGATCCTCTGATATTTCAGTATTCTTAAGATGTTGATCCCTATGTATCCCAGTCGTATTGTACTAAGTATTCCGGCTTCTTAGATCACATTGCATTATTTATTAGCTTTGCCTATGCATGTAGTCAAACTGGTCCTAATTCTATGTTAGTTATTGGGTAAGATTGAGTTTGTTATTGGCAACATGTAGTTTTTGAAACATTTTACTTTTCTAGATTTTAGATTATAATTGGAAAAGCACTAAACAATCCATGATGTGTATTGTTTATCTTTCCTTGTAGATTCCTGTTCGTCCTTTCAGACACAACGAATACGAGAGATTTATCCCAGCTGCCTATCCTTATTATGGAGCAGCATTTTCGATGGTAAGGATATTTCTCTTTCTGTGGGAAGGGATAAAATCAATGAAGTGAAATATGATCTCGAATTTCAACTTTAATGTATTCAAAGCCCTTAGGGAAGGGAAAAACCGCAAACTGCATTTTATCGCTAAATAATAACTGAACTGCCTTTAAGTACTGCCAAATATTGAAGCCTCTTTCTTGCATTGAAGTTACTGTTATTGGAAAGATGTAATTAGATCTATGCATGTTATGCAGGTGAATGTTGAGATTTCTTTACGGCTTTTATGTAATAACCTTTGAATTGTGATGCAGATGGCAGGTTTCTTCGTCTTCAGTGCCGTTCATCTTTACAACAAGTAGATCATTGCACGAAGTTAATGTAGTCTGTAACATGGGAGTTGTACTTATATTGAGATTGAAAATTTTGATTAGGCAATGAGAAAAATCATAAAACAGGTGTTTCTAACTTTATTATAGATGTGTTACTCTTTTTATTATTATTCTGTCATTTGAATTTTAGTATTTAGTAATGTGAGTATCAATCACTGTAGTAAACCAATTAATAAAAATTGAAATAACATGAAAAACCACACTATTAAAAATCAGCTTCATGAATATCTATAAGGGCTTTTCTGGTAGGAGCATTAAAGCTTCTGTTTTGAACTTTAAGAAACCAAAAACATAAGTGAACCAGCTTTAGTATGAGAAAAATGCAAAGACCCTCTCTAAGTTAGACCTAAAACATGAGTTGACTATATAAATTATATTGGGCATTGCCGAATGCACTCTTGGTGATGCTTAGACACCTCTGAAAAAATTATAAATGCCCTTCAAGGGATGATACCGTGTCTGCAATGTTTGATGATTTTTATAATCACGTGGTATCAAAGGAAGTACAAAGTGTGCCGGTTCCTCATCTAAGAAGTAATGCATTCGATTACATTCAATGATATTTTAGACTATCACGTTCAGAGAGATCCACCTAGGCCAATTCATCAGGAGGTATTAGAGGAGGAGCGTGTTAGGGCATATCATATTGTTGATGTGTCATCTGCATGTAAGTGTATTATGGATATTGCACGAGCGGGTATAGGGAGAGATGAGAGTTTTCGAAAAGCACTATTGTGAGTCACTATAGAGGCTATTCTAGTCGAGGCACAAGATCTCGAGCGGGTATAGGGAGAGATGAGAGTTTTCAGAAAGCACTATTGTGAGTCACTATAGAAGCTATTTTAGTCGAGGCACAAGATCTCTTGCCGTACATGAGGCAGAGAAGAAATCAGGGGATAAGAATTAAGATATACCCAAATTAGGAGATTAGATATACCCAGTACTTCACTTTTACTTCTATTTGGATAATATTTGTACTACGGTTTCTAAATGTCAATAGTGATGTTTGATTAAGGATTTTATTTGAATTTATGTGTCATTTAAATTGAATTACATCTATGATTTAATTGAATAACAATTATGTATACTTAGTATAAATGACCTAAAATATAAGATTTTTTTAAAATATCAAATTTATAACAAACTTACTGCCTAAGGGTTATACTTTCGAATTATTACGAAAGTATACTTTCGAATTATTCTGAGTTGTTAAATAAAAACTACCATGAATTCAAAATGTGTCTAGGGGTAATTACAAAAACACATACAAACTCACCCTTTCATAAGTATGAAGATCCATAAGTATGATGATACACTTCTGGATTAACTTTTGACAAAATGAGTTGCGTGACTCGCTTACATTTGAGTGCTTACGGAAGTATATTTCTGAATTTTGGAAGAATAATTTTGGACTTTTTAAAGGTGGCTCTTCACCACTATGGATAATCTATATTATGCACATATTAGACCCAATAGTCTTCGACTTAAAAAGATATTTTGTACCGGATATTTTGGAGTCTTTGAATGAAAAATTAAAGTTTATTTGTTGTAATAATTTTCATATATTTTTAGTTATTTTAGAATATGGTTGTGATTTTTTATTTCTTTTCGATTTTGTTTTAGAGTTTTTATTATATTCTTGTGTTTTAATTATGTTACTTTTTTATGATTGTTTTTTCAATAACTAGTATCAAAACTCTTGGTTTGATCCTGTGATACGAAAAGTAAGTAAGGTGGCATGTGTGAAATGCTCTTTTTGAAACGGTTTGTGATATGAATGATGTTTTAGAAATGTTCCGATTAGAAAAAACCTTTACTTTATGTGGCATGTGTGTCCATTGTAATACCCCTCCTTTTCTTTATGGAAACGTTTCCGTTGTACGTTTTTCATTATCTTATTTATTTCAATTTACATTTTAAATCTACGAGTAGAGCGATTTTGGTTGAGGAGTTGTAATTGAAATTGAACAACTCCAAATCACTTATCACATAAATTGCAGTATAAATCATGCGAAGGGATATGGCATCCACTGTTGTGTTATCACTGTCAGGGTTGTAAACAATATAAAAAATCAAAGAACATTAATTTAGAAGTCCATGTGAATTGGTCTTCACCCAAAAAGCGCTGGTCAGTGAGGAATTTCAAACTTGTATGGTCAGTGTGAATAATAAAATGGAGTACCATCAAGTAGGGCCTCCATTTCTGAACTGCTATAACAATAGCCATAACTTATTGTTCGTAGACAGATTTCCATTGTGCTTGGTCATACAAGATTTAGCTCAGAAATGCTACTGGTCGACTATGTTGCATTAAGATGGCACCTAAACCTGTTAGAAGCATTTGGTTCAATAACAAAAGGAAAATACATATATAGTATAATAAGGCCGGGCATGAGCAGTTACAAACCGCAACAACAATTACATGCTATATAATTAATTGTATAGTAAGTATAACCACTAGGATTAGAGAATCTAGTCTCTCCCAAATCAAACTGACGAGTAAGAAACTGAATGAGACTTTCTCATTCATTATTATTTATTATACTTAAATAAATTACTCTTAATTATATAATTTGGTCCTAATTTATGGAGCCTTCAGCCTAAGCCTAACATATATACTCTCTATTCTCTTTTATAAATAAATTTTAATTTTTTAAATTTATTGAATAATTAATATATCTAGTCTATATATTGTCCAAATACATCATTTATTCAATGAACTAAAAAAGTTAAAATTTGCTTATAAAAGAGAATTGAGAGATTATATATTAGTAAGAGAATTTCTTATCCCACCCCTTGGCCTTCTTAGGCACCACGCGCTCTGCCTAAAATATCCCTATGATTTTGGAGATGTATCTCCGGACGCACCTTTTTTCAGCTTTTTTTAATTTATTCCATAGATGCATCTACAAAATATTTCCGTATGCATATTTATGGAAGAAAACCAGAAACAGAATATCAGAAAATCAACAATGCAACGATAAAATCAACATTCATAAAATAAAATCGGCGTTACATTGATGATTTCGACAGAAATTTAAATACTACATTTCAATAGCTCGATGGACGCTTGCACATCTCTAAGATGTCATCGGCCGTTCTTCAGACCGTCGCCTCCTCGAGCGGAATTTTCTCTTTGAAACCGAAATACGTTCGCCACATCGCCTTAACATTGTCTTGACTCTTGAGCTCAAACTTACTGTAAACAACGTTCCCTTCGTTGTCAACTGAAGGTGAACGATACTCAAGCTTCACAATCTTTCGTTTGTCATTGTAAGGTAGACGATACTGGATCTCGTCTATGATATTGGCGAGGGGGAGGGGGGGGGGGTGAGATCCATGAGCTTGAATGTCCTCCCAGGTGTTTTGCCGTCGGAAAAGGAGACACTTGCGACATACTAACAGATCTTGATTTCACACAATTGAGACATTTTTGTATTTGTGTGAAAGATAACAAATGAAACCCCAAAATGATAGAAAACCTAGGTGAATATGGACCAACCGTTTTCTGTCAAACTTGTTTCCAGAGCTATATCCACGGAACGACCCCATAATTATCGGTTCCGGAGGTGTATCTTTAGAATTTTCCCTAAATTCAAAACGATTCAAAACAAGTGTCGCCGACTAAATCTATCCCTTTGGACTTTTTCGCATTCGATTCCTTTTCAATGTTGTTCAATCTTTCGAATTCGTGCATCCTTTCAACAAAACTGTTCTGGACTGGCCCAATGGTTAGGCATGACTCAATCCACTTCTGCTCTAAGAACGACCCAATTGACTAAGTCCACCCAATTTAGGGGGAACACTTACCTTTTTTCCCCTCCAACAGGGAGGTTGACCAATTTACCCTTGGTCACAACGCTTCTCCACGACAAGATTTGCCTGTCACTCACGGCTCCACCATCCAGAAACAACCAGGACGCTTGTGCCCGTAACTGCGCCCCTGCCCGTAGCAACGACTAGTTATGGGCACTTCCGCCCGTTTCAGCGGCTAGTTCTAGCAGTTACCTATTCTTTGAGAAGCGGTTATCTCGCCCTGAAAATAGGGACCAATGGCCAAGCGCTGAGGGCACTATAAAAACCCTCTCACTTGAAAGGGTCACAGTGAGGTCCCACTCGTCCTAGAGCACCTGTCAGTTCCCGTTCTGCCCAGCGCTGACCCGACCATGGCGGCCCTCCTCGAAGTTCTCAATAAGACCAACCTCCTAATCCTCAATCAGAGCATGACGATTGGAGCTTTAGAGGAATCCAGTCGTCCAAGATCTCCTCCACCGAGGAAAGAGCGTCAAAGACCACAAAGTCCTCCTCCCCGGTGCGAAAGAAACCGCCGGACACCTCTGGAGCTAGAAACCCAGACCGTCGAAAAGCGCAATCACATCTCTCCTCGGAACCAGCATTCCCCGCAACATAAGAGGACCAGAAGAGATAACCGGGCAGAGCCCCTGTGTTCGCCTCCGCCCAGATCTAAGGGCCGAGCACGAACCCCGTCTCCCCGTCGAGACCGTCATCCCACATACAGACGGGACGCCCATTCCTTGTCTTAGACCAATAACAGCAGTGGCAACGAGACTCACGACCCATTTTCCCAGGAAATTATGGCCATGCGTCTGCTGAAGGGGCTGGAGAAACCCCCTTCTCTAGGCATATACGACGATACAACAGACCCCGATGCGCACATCAAAAATATCGATGTGCTACTCGATTACCGTAGCATCCAGGGCACCGTTATTCTCGACCACACCCAAGAAAGGGGCGATGACCTGGTACAAAAGACTCCCCGATGATTCCATCACCTCATGGAGGCAATTGGGGAGAATGTTCTCCAGACACTTCACGGCCTCCCGTCGCCATCCAAAGACCGAAGCCTACCTTGAAACCATCATTCAAGGGAGAGATGAACCCATGCAAGCATACATTGAAAGGTTCAATAAGGAGGCCGTCCAGGTCTCTACGACCGATGAAATGAAAAC